AGACGGATACTTGGCGGCACACAATACCAAAAGCGTATTGTATAACTAAATAACATAATTGGACACTACCTTATGAATGGAAAAAATACTATTTTAACAAAATCAAGAGATTTGTGTGAGATGCGGAATTTTGATCTCACAGTACATACCATTGCGACTAATAATGCAATAAAATCACTAAAAAACATGTTGCAAAATGTTGAAGATAAAAGCAGAAATCTCAAGATCCAGCAGTTTGCATAGCGGAGAATAGCCAGGTACAAAAAAATTTTTCAACATTACTGAATAATATTTTGTCAAAAGCTAATACTAATAAGAAACAGTAGACATATTTCTATCATATGAGAAAGCACATTATCGTTTATTTTTCTGATTAAGTTTACATTCGACTAGGCTGAGTCTTTGTATAACAGGATTGGCAAATCTGCAGTCTATTGATGGTCTATTGATGGTCCATTGGGTCCATTAATGTAATAATTTAACCATATTTGGTATTTTATTAATGGCAACGTACCAGTTCAAAATCCATCAGTTATCAATGGAACAATCAATTAGCCAACCCTGCTGTATAAAGCAGAACAAGAGATTGCTAATTATGAGCTCTGTACACCCAAAAGATAAAATATGTTGCATGTCAGGTACCATTCACCAGAACAACAGGAAAAAAGGAGGAAGAGGAAGATACACTCTATGAAATTTCTGTATTTAATCCTTTTTTTGAAAAGACTTCTGTGAATGAAGACAATTTCAAGGAGAATAAGATATAATTCTTTGTTGACATTTTCGATTTTAGATATAATATTCGTGGAAGCTAGCAAGTAGCAATAGATGGGTCCTTGGCGTTTGAACGATGCAAATCACAAAGAAATCGAGATCACCTTTTTGTCAATGAAGAAGGAAAATATGTGGAAGTTGGAGACAAGTGCTAGAGTGGTCGAAGAGGAACTATATAATATTAGCCGTGGTCTGGAATTTGAACAGTGAGCTAGTGATTTCATCTGCTGATATTTATTAGGAAAATGTATTAATTGGAGATCTGTATTTCTGGTGGAGTCCACTCATTTATTGTGGATGTGGATGACGAGTTAATAAAGCAGCATTTTAGTGAAACTGAACATTTAGAAATGGAGAATGAATGTGTTCCAGAAATACCACAGCTGTCACAAGGCATTATAGGTTATCTTATCAAATTTAACGATAAAGTAAGGTTATTTTATATATTAATTGGCAAACAATGCATATATATACATTGAATTGATTCTTCTTGTCAGAAAACACTAAAGGAGATATGTAAGACAATTATTGAACCAGATGAAAGGTTTGATATGAAATATGATCAAGATGCTTACCATGATCTAGATTACATTAGATTTGTGTTATACACGCTGTAGGTTATCATATATTCAAATTTATTTATATATCAACTAAACAATTGTTTCCCAGAGTTAGGGAAATTGAGTATGGAGGATTAAAAGGCCAGAATTTGGAGGCATAGTACAACTGTCATGTGTGGGATGTCATCATTGATCAAGGTTTTGCAGGTTTGAAGGAGACATCTGTTATTCGGTATGTATTCATACTTTAACTATTTATTCATTATCTCTTTTAATTTGTTTTTGTGCGACTGTCATCTTTAAAGAGGTGAAAGCACTAGCACCGTGAATGCTGAGCAGAAGAATGCACATAGGACGGATATGAACACTTGGAGAAAGTGTGGGCACCGAGGCGATTGGGTCTTGAGACGAATTGGAAATGGTGAGTGTGATGAATATGGTATTGGCGAAGCAGGAAAGTTGTGGTTTGATGATCATTGTTTTATGGGAGTATTGGTTAATAAGTTTTAGAGAGGTTCACGAAAAACTATTTTATAGAAATTTAATAGTCATGGGATTCAGCAAAATTAAAAGGTATTTTGACTTTACATTGATAAATGATTATTAATTATTGTTTTATATATAAATACTATAAATAATAAATAAAATGTATAAATTGTATTTAACACTTATTTGATCAAACCCGCCTATATAAACATTTGTTTTGCAGGCTTCATAGATCTTGACTAGCACTTACTTCGATCAACCCTGCATATATAATTATTGAGTAATTGATAAACATTCGTTTTGCAAGCTAACGAACATTTTATCAATCATTCAATAGTTATATTTTTCTTTATGTATATAGATTTAATAACATCACTATGATAAATAATTAAATGAATAAAGTCAGAAATAAAACACCTTTTAATTGATCATTATTTATGTAAATGTAAAAGAAAAATTTTAAAATATCTGTTTAAATTTATGCAGATTATCCAAATTTTACTGTTTTCAACTCCCTCCTTATAGATCTGTGGGAAATGTCCTGCAACTATTAGTTAGATTTGTTAATCAACTTATATCAAATACATTAATTTGTAGCTTAGCATTATATTATTGGGGTAAATTTTCATTTTTATTATTACATAGGATTTTGGATAAATTCAAATAATTAAAATAAATTTTTTTTAGATGTTTTAAATTTACATGTGTATTCAACAAAATCTAAGCTACATTTTGACAAAATTTTATGTATAGTTACTGTGTGAGATTTTTTTTATAATTAGTAAAAAAAAACTTTTGTCCAGGGAGTGTATATATATTATTTTAACATTGAAGAGATTACTCTACTCACTCAAAGAACATGAATGTTGCCTTTGACAAATTATTTAATTAGCACCATTACCTGAAGAAACAACCAGGTAACCAAAAGTTTCAGACCTGGATAAAACAGATTTTGGCTTAAAAAAGAAAATTAACTTTAGTTTTGTTACAGCACACCCCATATGCTATATAAGTTTTACTGAAAGAAAATACAGAATGTAATTCTGTTTTTGTTTGATTGAAATATTTTCAAGATATTAAAATAGATGTATTCAAAATTAAATAATAATGATGATATCATTATTATTAGTCTATTTACAAAAAAAAAAAGAAATTATCTAAAATATTTTTATCCTTCTTCTTCTCAATCTAATTATAAGTAGTAAATTCATTCACCATAGGTGTCAGATTTAATAAAATTTTCAATTTTAACGCATGCTTCTTTGATACATCCAATTTTATTCATTGAAAATTGTGATTTGATTATATCAAGTATCATGGTTTCACTATATATATTAATCATATAATCATATTAATTTAATTTCACCAAAAATAAATAAATAAATTTTGATTTTTCACTTACTTTACACCTCCATAGCAAAGTTCAACATTATATTTTATATTTTCCCATAGTGGATAATTCATCACATCATCTGTACACAAATAATAATTTATATAAAATTTTGTTTTTTTTTTATAATTGAAAAAAAGTACTTGCAAACATAATGTAGGTTCACTGTCACTATCATTATCATCATTATTCTTATTAATGTTATTATTGCTTTCATCTCTGTCACCATTGTTATTATCATCTTTATTAGAAATTACAAGTATTTCAGTTGGAAATTTTAGCCTTAAGATAAATATTTCTTGATAAATTTGGTGCACATTATTCCAATAAGTTTTAATTTCTTGCAAGATCCTTGGCACCTCATTGATTTGTTGTAAAGATTTTGCTAGATTCCTTGATATCATCTTTTGTAATCCTAACATTAATGGATTACAATATTTCTTCTCTTCATTGTTCATATCATTACTAACTAGATTTGATAATTCCAGAGATAATATTTTGTTCTCATTTATGTCAAATTTCAATTTCACTTCCAGATTCTTGCAATTCATAATAACAAGATCTTTCTTTAATTCAACAGGTTGCCATTGATGAGTATGTAAAAGAGAATCATATATCTCTAATAGTAAATTAATTAATTGGATATCAATCATTTGAATAACTAATTAAATAAAAGTCATTTATAAGAAAAAATTCTTTTACATACTAGAAAAACGATTCAAATCATCCTCAGTATAATAATTTTTTGCATCTTCAATAAGTTTATTAGCTTGAATTATATCCTTGATTCACATAATTTACAATTAATTATATATATTTACATGTATGTATACGCGTTTAGAATAAATGATATATGTGCGCATTTAGAATAAATGATATATGCACGTACCTGTTTTAATCCGAGTTTTTTATTTATTAACTTATTTTTATAATCTTGAAGAGTTTTTAATTCATTTTTAAAATCCTCATATTCTGACTCAAAGTTTTTTATTGCTACATTCTGTTCATCAATTGCTTCTACCATAGATTCTAATACCGACATGTTTTTTTGTATTATATCCACGAGAACAAATTTGTAAACAAAGCTTTGATTTTAATGCATTGTGAAGATCTTCAATTTTGGATAAATATCATGTGGTCCACACATAGAGGAAATAAATCTGATTAGATTAATATTAGGATTTGATTTGATTAATAAACCACCACATTTTAATTTATTTTTTTTGAAAATCTTTAATCAAAATCCCAAGATTAATATTAAATAAATAAAGATTGGCAAATTTATACTACACGTAGCACAATATTTTTATATAATGAAATTTCTTGACTTGGGTATATATTATCAAATTACCCAAGTTCGTAAACTTTTATCATTTGCCGTCACCATTTTTAGTTTTTTCTTTTTTTTTTTAAAAAAAAAACCGTCTACATTGGTGCAACTTCTAATTGTTTTATTTATTTGTTTATATCTTAAAAATATCAAAGCCAATAAAAGATGGCTTAGTTTTTTATGTACTGTAAATGTGTCATAGTTTGTCATCCATTCATCCATCAATTTTTAAAACAGATTTAAATTGTTTAAATTGTTTCAAGATTATTTAAAAAAAAATTTTTTTTCACAATTTTTATAAAAAAAATAAAAAAACAACTATATAAATAAATAAAAAAAATGAGAAAAAGACTTGACATTCGTGATGGTATTTGTCTTTATATTAAAAATGATCGATTTTACATTATTACTATAATACATAATATAATTCTAAATAATCCATCAGCACTAAACGAGCTCGATGATAAACGCATCAAACACATAAAGCCATTAATTCAACCTCAAATTTTAATGGAAGACTTTCCACTTACCTTCCAAGCAGCACAAAGCGTCATAGTTGGTCGTTCTGCTGCCGAAAGCATCATAAAAGGTCAAGACGACCGACTTCTTGTAATAGTTGGTCCTTGTTCAGTTCATGATGTTTCTGCTGCTCTCGAATATGGTAAATATAAATGATTGGATGGAAATAAATTTTTTCCATGTAATATATAAATAAATATTTATTCATTTATCATCATTATCATAATCACAAATTTAGCTGAAAGATTAAAGGAATATTCGGTTAGTGCAAGCAGTGAATTAGCTATTATCATGCGAGTTTATTTCGAAAAACCAAGAACCACAGTGGGATGGAAAGGACTGATAAATGATCCTGAATTAAACAACAGGTACCTATTATATTTTGTATGTGATATATATGTATGGATGAGAGTGTGAGATTAATAGAGATTGTTCTTTTCTTTTCCTAGTTTTCAAATAAATAAAGGTTTACGAGTTGCACGAAATTTATTATTAGATATAGTAAGTAAATACAACCCTTTTTGGGAAAAACCATTATTTATTTTATTTTTAAAAAAAAAATCAATTTAACATTTAAATAGAATCAATTGGGAGTTCCATGCGGATGTGAATTTCTTGATACAATCACACCACAATACATTGCAGATCTAGTTTCCTGGGGTGCTATTGGTGCAAGAACCACCGAATCACAAGTGCATCGCGAATTAGCTTCAGGTTTATCTGTGCCTGTTGGTTTCAAAAATGGTAAATACAAGTTTGGAGGAAAGAGAGTGTGTATGTGTGTATGTGTGTATTAATAATAGATATTGATTCCTTTGAAAAATATGTAGGCACTGATGGAAATATAGTTGTAGCTGTTGATGCTATCAAAGCTGCTAGTGCTAAACATAATTTCTTATCAGTCACAAAACAGGGAATAAGTGCAATAGTGGCAACAGAGGTAAGCTCTACAATAAAAATATTGACAAAATGTAACTATTCACTAAATACCAAATAAATCTAATAAATTAGGGAAATGATTGTTGTCATGTAATTTTAAGAGGTGGTGCACTTGGACCTAATTATTCAGCCAAGAATGTAAAAAATGTTGTATCTAAATTAGAGGCTGCAAAACTTACTGCACGTGTAATGATTGACTGCAGTCACGGTAATAGTCAAAAGGTGTTCAGCAAACAAGTAGATGTAGCTAAAGTCATTGTGAGTGTTGAATGAATATTCTCTCTTGTCATTGTGAATTAATTAATGAATGAATTTATTGATTAATTTTTGTAGGTTGAACAACTTAAAAATTCACATACAGGATTTAATATAATGGGCGTAATGATTGAAAGTAACTTGGTAGAAGGTAGCTGTTAAATATTTTTATTTTTATTTTTATTTTATGATTATTATTATAATAATCCAATAACATAATGACTTACAATAATGATAATAATAATAATATAGGACGTCAAGACCTTCCACCAGATGGAGATGCAAATCTTATTTATGGTCAATCAATAACAGATGCATGTATTGGTTGGGAAACTACAGTTCAAGTTTTGGATCTATTACGTGAAGGTGTTCGTGCTAGAAGGGCACGTAATGGTAAAGCTGTAAATGGAATAAATGGAATAGCTAAAACTAAATAATTAAATTAAATAATTAAAATTTTCTTTTTCAATAATATAATTAATCATCAATTAATCAATTTAATTTGTAATTTTTATTTTTATTTTTTTTATTAAAAATACAATTTGAAAATTTACTTTTCCGTAAATAAATCGGTTTATTTTATGCGCGATAAACAAGTATTTTTGCATTTATGTGATAAATAATTTTGTTAAAGTATTTAAATAATAATAAAAATATATGTGTGTTAAAAATTAAATAACAATTAAGAACATAGTTTAGAAGTTTCCTTGGGTTGAATCTTGGTTCGATATTTTGAATATTTTATTTAAACTGCATATATAACCTAGCATTTCATGACCCGATTTAGTGCAAAGTAACTAACCCGTTGCATAATTAAATGAGTGAATTTGCAGTGCAGTAGAATCCAAATCAACTAATTGCATCAGAAGATTCATTTCTTGACTATCATCAAGTGAGGATGATATCCATTTCGGTTCATAAAAATGGATTGCGTCAGTTTTTATCTTTTTAAATTAAATTTATGTGAATCTTTGATAAATCTGCACGCAAAAGAAATTGCCAAGCCGGAGGCCAAGTCATCAAAATATTTAGTGGATATTGTTAATTTTAAAAATCAATAAAAATGAAAATAATCAATGATTGAATGTTGGGCTTGGTTTCCTTGTTGGATGAGTTTGGTGGGTTCCAGGACAGTTTTTAAAAATTCTCGAGAACAATGTACAGTATTATTATTTTTATTATAAAATTTTATCTTTAGTGTAAGATATCACATGACTTAATTGTTCAAAAAATTGTTTTCTCGATTTAGCGGATAAATTTCCTGGTACTAGTACAAACACGTCCGTTAAATCAACTCACTGTGTATTATTTATTAGTATTGGTATTATATAAATCATACACATTAAATCTTAAAAAAATTAATTAATAATTAACTTACTTGATTTATTAATGTTTGTCTAGTAACCAAATCGTAATATAAACCCCTCTGAGAAATCAATTCTAAATGTTTACCACTTTCCACAATTTTACCTTTCTTACATACTAATATTAAACCAGCATTCTGTATTGTTGATAATCTGTGCGCAATAGTTAAGGTCGTACGGCCTTGACTTGCTTTATCTAATGCATCTTGAACAATTTTTTCACTTTCCGAATCTAAAGCTGATGTTGCTTCGTCAAGTAACAACAATTTTGGAGATCGGATCAATGCTCTTGCGATTGCAACTCTTTGTTTTTGCCCACCGCTTAATTGTGTTCCTTTTTCTCCAGCTTTTGTGTCATATTTATCTGGCAAACTCATAATGAAATCATGTATGTTAGCACCTTTTGCTGCATTTTCAATCTCATCTTGCGTTGCACCTTCTTTGCCATATGCGATATTTTCTCCAATAGTTAAATCAAATAATATGGGTTCTTGTCCAACTAGAGCCAAATTGGATCTCAAGTATTCTAAATTCCAAGTTTTGATGTCAACCTTTTCAACTTCAATAGATCCTGAATTGACATCATAAAACCTCAACAACAATGATACAACGGTTGATTTACCACTCCCAGAAGATCCTACCAAAGCTATTTTTTTCCCTGCGTCAATTGACATATCTAAACCTTTTAATATTTTTATGTCTGGTCTCGCTGGATAATTAAAATGCGCATCTTTAATTGTTGATTCTCCTGTAACAGGCGTTGGGCGATCTTTACCCTCGTTACCAGTTGCATCAATTTTTGATTTACGATCAATTATTTCGAATATTGAGATGGCTGCTACTTTGGCATTTGCAGTATTTGGTGCAAAAGAACTCATTTGACCAACAGCAACAGAAGAAAAAATAACAACGAATAAAACTCTAAGCATTGATTGTGTAGTATATTCTCCGCTAATGATCAATCTTGAGCCGTACCAAAAAGCTAATGACCAAATGAAATATACGAAACCCTGTGACGCACCAAATCCAAAACCAACAAGTGTTGAGCCTCTAATAGCAATTTTATGTGGTTCTTCAAGTGCTTCAATAAACTTATTTTAAATGTCTCTTCTCTTGTCAAAGATGCTATTGTCCTCATGTTAGATACACTTTGTTGTACGATTTCTCCTGTTGATTCATATGCTTTACGTGTCTAATCATATACACAAATAGAATGGAAATTATTAATAATTTAGTGTTACTAGATGTAAAAATAATGATGATGATAATAAACAATGTTAATTACCTTTGTACCAAGCCCTGCAAGAGCTTTAAATTCCAAGTAACCAGCAATTACAGCAACTGGTGAGGCGGCTAAAATTACTAATGTGAGCTTCCAACCAAAATAAAATGCGATTCCCTTTGAAAGCAAAATAATAATATATAATACTGAATCAATTAATCAATAATAAATTATCCCCCCAAAAAAATATAAATAAAAATACTTACTATACCAAAAATCAAATTAGTGGTGTTCATTATTATACTGCCCATCAAATTACCGGCTAAGCCTTCGACTTTTGAAGCATCAACAGCTAATTTAGAAGTTAAAACACCGGTTCCATTTTTTACATCATCGAAAAAGGCAACTTCTTGTTTGACAAGTGATGTGAATGTCATGGTACGTAGACGTTTTGTCAATCTTTCAGCTGATAATGAAAATGATGTTACTTGAATAAAGTTTGCTAGTCCCGATACTAATGCAATGACTCCAAACATTGCTGCCCAAAAATTTGCTCTACTCCTAAGTCCATCAGGACTAAATAAAAAATATATCAATGTTAATTAGTTAAAATCGCCTTTTTTTTAACAAAAAAAAAAATATATATATATACATCATTTATCTATCAACTTACTCATCAGTTCTAGAAAATACTTCCAAGATTGAAGAAAATACCAAGGCAAATAAAGGCATGACTGATCCAGTAACTACAGCACCAATACCACCGGGAGCTATTAAGTACCATTCTGGTTTATTTAAATTAAATACTCTGCCTAAAGGTGTTTTTTGTTTTAATTTTTCTAATCTATCTTTTTCGATTTCTTCGTCAGTAAGTTTAATTGATTTAGTGACGGATCCTTTGGTCGTAAGACGTTTCAAATTTAATTTATTTGACTTATCATCAATTATAACAGAAGTCTCATCTTCTTCTTCTATTAATTGAGTACTCAAATCTTCACTATCTTCATCATCTTCTTCAATTTCACCTTTCGCATCTTTTTTTTCTTTATGATGACCTTTTTTTAATTCTTGAGCTTTAACTAATCCATAATACAGTCCACCTCTTTCAATCAATTCGTCATGCTTGCCAATTTCTTTAATTTCGCCTTTTGACATTACGACGATTTTATCAGCATTTTTGATTGTTGACAAACGATGAGCTATAACAATTGTAGTACGGTTTGTTGAAGCTTTATCAAGTGCTTCTTGTACAAGTCCTTCAGATTCAGTGTCAAGAGCAGAAGTGGCTTCATCAAGTAAAAGAATAGGAGGGTCTTTGATCAAAGCTCTTGCAATTGCAATTCTTTGTTTTTGACCACCTGATATCAAAGAACCTTTTTCACCGACAAAAGTATTGTATTTATCGGGTAATTCATCAATGAAATCATGAGCATTTGATCTCTTACAAATTTCAATTATTTCATCTAGGCTGGGTTCTTTAACATCATCAGGACCAGCACCCAAATGATATTTTGTTTGATAGTTTCTGGAAACAAAACAGGTTCTTGACCAACCATGCCAATTTGAGTTCTTAACGATTTGATATTTATATCTTTGATGTTGATGCCGTCTAATAAAATTTCACCCTCCAACGGATCATAAAATCTTTCAATTAGGCTGACTATAGTTGATTTTCCTGAGCCAGATGAACCAACCAAAGCAACAGTTTGACCAGGTTCAATCGTTAAATTAAAATCTTTTAAAACTTGTACATCGGGTCTTGATGGATAAGAAAAATTGATATTTTTAAATTCGATGAAACCTTTAAACTCAGATTTGGCAAATTTTTTGCCTTTATCGGCAGATGAATCGATCTTTGGTACTCTATCTATTATCTTGTAGATTTTTGCAGCTGCACCAAGTGCATTGCTAACTGATGAGAGATATGGAGCTGCATTACCAATTGAAAATGCTAAAAAGAAGCCATATAAATATAGATTATTAAAATGATATTTATAAATATGATTTTATAACTTAAATAATATATATTTATATAACTTACCACCAATCATAACAGCAAAAAATGCATTTAAAATATCACCACCATTTTCTTCACCATTAACGATCAAAATACTACCATACCAAAAAGCTAAGCCATAACTACCAAACATTGCAATTAACATGAAACCCATTCCTAAGCCATTCACAATTGACTTTCTTTTACCAAATTTATATGCTATTTCAAGTTTTGAGATGTAACGTTGTATTTCACGCTGTTCACCACTAAATGCCACTACTGTTCTAATCCCGCTGCAGCATATGCGTCTAAATGTGAAAAATGAACGTTTAATTTCATTTATTAATTCATATAAACATATAAAGTTGTTATTACATATATATATTGATGATTTTTGTTTTACCTTGACCTTCTGTTGCATCGCTAGATAAAGATTTTGATATGACAACACCAGAAATTGCAAGAAGTGGAAGTACAGAACAAAGCACGAGTGTTAATTTCCATACTATAAAAAAGATCAAAAGATTAAACTTCTTTATCTTTGTTTCTTCTTCTTTATATTATTATTATTTACCTTTAACTAAAGCAACAATAAAACCTCCAATGAAACAAGTGAATTGTTGAATTATGAATCCTACTTTTTCAGACATGCCTTCTTGTAATATACTAATATCACCTGAAACACGTGTAGTTATATCACCAGTTGATGTATCATCAAAAAATTCGATATCTTGATGAATGATTGATGAATAAAATAATGTACGAATTCTCTAAAAAAAATTAAAAAGAATATCATCATCATCATCATCATCATCATCATTACATATGTTTACCTTTGTTTGTCTTTCGCCGGCGATTATCCAAAAACACATTTGTAAGTTAGCACATACAAAAATGGAACAACCAAGAGCTATGAAATAAAATGCATAAGTTTTAACACCGTCTTCTAATTTATTCACAGCTCCATCAGCTGGTTGTCCAGTGTTAATTGCCAGATTGTAATCAAGAAAGGTTTGTATAAAACCAGAAAATATTATGGACATTATTGGAATTGCTATACCATTACCAAGAGCACCTATAGTACCAGCGAACATAAATAATATATCCGATGAAGTAGCAAATCTAAATAGTTTAACTAAAGGTACAGTTTCAGCTTTTTCCTTTTTTTTTGTTGCAGATTTTCTTTTGTTCTTTTTATCATTGTCACTGTCATTTATTTTTTTTTCATTAATTGAAGAAGAAGGACCATCTGATTCTTTATTTTGTGGTGGTAATTCGTCCATTATGAAAAAATCGACTACTTCATTTTGCGATTTTTCTTTTTCTTTTTCTTTTTCTGTCATCGTTGTTGCTGTTATTGTTGTTGTTGTTTCTTCTCCAGTTAATGATATACTTGACAATTTTTCTTTATCGCCGTCATCATTTTTATTATTATTATTATTATTATCCGAAGACATTGTTACTATTATTGTTGTTATAATTGTGAATTTATTTTGTCGTGATGAAATTGGTAGCTAATCTAAAAAAAGTTTTTATTTGAGGAAAAAATGAACATAAAAAATGGTTTATTTATAATGAATTGAAATTAATTGACTAAATATCTGCTCTAATGAAGTATCTAATTAATACTGCGTTTATTATAACCTGTTTTAACCCGAACAAATATTTGATTCATGTCAAATTCCATTATTTACGTGTTTTAATTAATTAATGTAACCAACCCTGCCCCAAAAAATCTGGATCTGCGATCAGATTAACCGTATTTTTTTTTACATTACTTACCAAATTAAGAGGTTTATTTATGTTTTTTTTAATTAATATTAATTAATATGATGATATAATTAAGTACTTTTTTTAATCGTAAAGAACTTTTAAAAATGCCAATTTTTAATTTAAGAAAAAACTAGCCGATAAGTTTTGAAGCTCGAGTCATGGACAATAAAACTTATCGGCTGACTTTATATAAAATGATATAAAAATTACTTGTTTTAGCTGACCAATTTTTACTATATATAAGCAATTAATTAACGTTAAATTGAGAATAGATGAAAAGTCTGTGTTGAGTTTTTATAATGGAAAGTCATGTTTATTACAAAAAGCCTTGCAAATCTTGACCTAAGAAAATACAAATAAGGAAATCGTTTGCATAAAAAACTACGAACCTTTCTTATATATAAAAAAAAATAAAAAAAAATAAAAATATATATACATATGTTGTATGTGAAATTGAAATATTATGGAGTGGGGTGAAATTCTGATTGGCTAATTTGAATTTCACATATGCAAATTTGAATTTCACATATGTGAATTGCGAATTCATTTTTCACGTACAACATATTAATATATTAATATATTAACTTTAGTTTTACAAATAAATCATTTTCGTTTTTTGAATAATTGGGTGGAATTAAAGAGTAAATGTTTGGCGTGTATTTTAAAAAGGGAATATTGTTATTTATGACGATCTTATTTAAGCATGATGTTGTGATGTCCGCTAAAATTTTATTTTCTGTTACGCTAAAACAGATAACTAAATAAATAAACGATAATCACATTTGTTACATCTCGGAGTTTGAATTCGGGGTATATAACTCCTTCGAGACTTGATTGAGTTTGCTTTGTAAAATGAGTATTCTTCTTGATAAATACTTATGCGAAAAAAAAGTTGTAATGGTGATCTTTTTAAATTCAAGTCATATCCGCGTAACTTGAAAAAATTTTATAACAAAGGATGGAAGACGATTTCGAAGTCGTAAGAGGTATCTATTACTATTCCCAAGTGTAGTCATCCACTTCAAGTGAAGTTTATTTTCAAGCGTATTTTTCCACTATTTCCCTTCATTTAAAAATAATGCCTCGCTTGAAGTTCCTCTCTCACTTGGGAAGGATGTTTCTTCTTTTCTCTGTACATACCTACCTTATGCGTATAAATTTATTTATCCCAGCATTATCCATTTTTGTGGGAGGTTCCGATCATACAGATAAAAACACACCTTATTTTGATGAATGGACGAGTTCCAATTTACCTCAAGTAAGGTATTCACACATAAAAAAATTACATGATAAAAAGTAAAATTTTTTAATTTAGGTTTCACACATATCCACTTCCATAATTATGCTGAGGCTACAAACGTATATAGTTATCATGGTAACCAGGAAATACAATTACATTTTCAGCTGCTACATACATCAGGATCTTAAATTATAAAATTGCATCGCGATGTAAAACGGGTACCATTGCACTACATTATTTCAAGATGTGCAGCCTACCCAACATTACACAACACATTGTTACATTGCGATTTATATTTAATATTAACATTTCGCATCGAATTTTATTGTATTAAAAATCAATAAAAATAAAATATATATATATAAATTCAATTTGAAAAAATTACATTTTTCAATATAACAAGATATTGCAGAAACAGGAGCAGTGCGCCATCCTCAAGAACAGTCACCTGGTATCACCAAGCCTAAATTATATACATTTATTATTATTAACATAATCAACGTTACAATATAATGAATAAATATGTCTAGTATCATATCAATGTTAGTCGGGTTGCTTTTCCTTATTATTATTATTATGTAACGTTAGGTAACACGATCAAAGGAAATAAAGAAAAGTTTATCACATAAGCTTTATTAATATTAATTATATACAATAAGTATTTTCATCTCCCGTTATTTAATGTAACATGTATAACATTCATTATTATTATAATAATATTATGCAAATATACAATTGATCTCTATAAATAAAAAAATTATCTTTTTCATTTTTTGGTAAGTCCTGCTTCATCATCTTGTTCTTGTTCATTTCCGACAATTTCTTCAACAACTTTTTCAAATGATTTTCTTTTCTTAACGGATTTTTTTTCATTTCTTGGTGATGGTAAGGATCTTTTATTTTTTTTTTTTTGGAAATACCACTTGACTCAATGAATGAGTCCTCAAGTTTTTTTAGTGTTTCTCGATTCTTGTCAATATTTTTTCCTTTTTGGTTATTGTTTGATGACAGTGCTGATGATAACAATGATGATGATGATGGTTCTATGACTGGGTATGTAAATTCTAACTCCAGGGTCTCCAAATGTAAAAACTCATTCCCG